TAACTAGGAGCAATGAGATTAAATTCAGGAAAAAAAAGTAATTTAAGGCTTAATAGAACCAGAGTTTTAGAAAATATACAGTCTGATTCAGATAGTAGTATTTTTTTTATTTTTTTTGTTACCTGTCTGCTCCTTAAATGAGTCTTGATTATTCTTAGGCACTTCTTAGGATCAAATTACATGTACAAGTACATGTTTGTGCTTATGGCTTGAATCCTTATGATTATTAATCACTTAAAACACTAATACAGTTGCCAAGTTTTGCTTCTGCTCTGATTTCCTTATTGTCCTCTATTTACACATAGAACTATCATATATTGCTCTCATGCAATGAAAGATACTGGACTGGTCACAGAATTGCGGAAGAAAATAGGTGCTTACAGACTATTTTATTCTTTAGATAGAGCTGGTATTACCCCTTCTGATTAAGTTTTTCTATCCATTATTATTCTGCAGATTTCAAAAGCTTTATTTCAAAACTTTCAAGATCATTATCTACCTACCCAGAAATTTTCTGAGAAATTTTCCTGCAGAAATGGTCCACTGAGAAAGAGAAAGACACTTAGGAAAATTACTTTGCCTTTCCCAATAAAATCTACTTCCCTTCAGTCAAGCTACTCCTGAAAAATTGCATTTTGCAATATACTCAGTTTGCAATATACTCAGAATTTGCACATATCAAGTATGCAGCAGACGGTATCTTCTCCTATGTTATCCACCTGGATCTGAGCAGAACTTTTCCATCACTTTCAACTATGACAAGCTGTACCAGGAATGGGAATCTAAATCTAAGAAAGCTAAGCTGGTCTCCTATACCCTTGGTAATTTTCCATCAAGATATGGAAAGATGAAACACGCTGGGCACAGAACTCATAGATACATGAAAGAAAGCACAAAACAAGGGAATTGAGGAAACAACCAAACTGAAATGATTGGCTAAGGAAACTGGAATCAGACAGGGAACCAAAGGGGTTACTGGAATCAAAGGGAGAAAAAAAGTGGATTCATTTGATAGTTGGTAAGTTAATGAGGAGATTAAGATTTGATAGGGAATGAGAATGTAGGCAGAAGGGAGGATTACTGGAAAGAAAGTGTTGAGAAATGGGTTAAGTCAACGTGTGGCATGAGAATGTAAGAGAAGTCAAATGCAAGAACACTGYAGAAGAAGGTGGCAGTAGAGAAAAGCCAGTCTGATGGTTAAAGTCACCAAAAGCTATCCAGGAAAATGAAAACCTATCCCTCACACTAGAAGGCAAGTAATTTTTACCATATATTTAATTTCAAAGAGAGTCAGTAGCTATGTATTCTATATTTCTGAGATCCATACCTGCAATACTACAGTCTATGTTCCAGAAGTTTTGTAACAAGACGCAGAGCTCCAATAGAAGACATCTGACTATGCTCTGAATATGTGGACTAATCTCAAAATTCAGATCGATCCTAGGCATCTTAAAAGAAGATGTTTTCTTTTATTCAGTTCTCCAGGACTGAAAGAATAAATACTGGTAAAATACTACAGAAAAGTAAAGAGAAGGAACATCTTCCTCTCAATGGTTAGCTCCTGGGATACTAACCATAATCTACTTCAAAGGTACTCATTTCTAACACAGATAATAGCTTTTGAGGAATGCCTGAACTGCTCCCATATCTATGTTTACAGCATGTAATAGCTTTTAAACTTAGAATGGACTCATGCAATTACCCTCCCTGACTATCTGCACAACACAGGCCATAGAATTGCATGGAGCTCCCGAAGTCTAGTTCAAATAMATACATTCACAGCATATAACCACCCAAATGTGATGGGTATTGCTTTTTGCTCCCTACATTTTCTAATGGATCTTATGTTCTCTATCATTCCTTTAATTTATATAGGGCTATTCTGATTTGGAAGCAGGGATTGTACAAAAAAATCCCTCTAAAAATAAAGACATTTGTCTTTAGAACCTAAAAAATAAGTATCAGAAATAAATTGCCTAAAAAATAATCACCTTACCCAAATTTTACATTAAGTGTGGAATCCCAGAGGCCTTTGGAATGAAATGATAGATATTCTTTGGAGTCAWACAATTACACCAATTAAAATAATTTAACAATTAAGAAATAAAGAGATTTGGAGCAGCTATATCTAAGGAARAAAGCAGCTACCTGAGAGATTTAACCTTTCCCCACCTGCTGCTGYAGCACTTCAGGTCAGCTGAAGGGTCTTTTTTTACACCTCTAGAATGAAATACTTTCTAAAAGACAAGTGAAGCAGTGAAAAGTGCTTGCTAAATTCCTCATGGGCTTCTGTTTTACATTTATGTTTATGTATATGTATCATATCACTGCAAATAAATAAGTGACTATACAATGCTTTGAAGATATAAGGCATTTGCGTATTTCTGCATTTGTGTATTCAAACAGATACTATACATCAAAATGGGCTATTTTTTCTCAGATGATAAAAGCAATTCAYGGCCTATTTTAAGGTTGGTACTCAAAATCCAGCTCCCATGTCCTTATTATTCATCTCAGTTGATTATACTTTAGCTTCTTTATGGACTCACTAAAATATGCACTAATAAAATCTTCTTAGCCTTTTATTATCAACTGACTCAACACACACAAATATTGCAGGCTGCAAGGATTTGCTGGTCACTGTGAGCATGACTCCAGACTGCTCTGCTATCAATGCGTTTGCTATTCTGTCTCTGGTAGCTAATGTTTCTGAAAAGGTAACAGATTTTTTAGCATCATTCAGGCAATTTGYAAACATACCGCTGCCTTTAAGGTGCTGCATTTATTTCAACACAATATGGGAATGAGTTTAATCTGGGTAAGTTATTATGATATACTAACACTTTTATTTCACTGTGCCCTTARATGTTCCACAGCTGCCTGGGTAAAAATCTGTTAGAAATATGCCAGCTTTTTAGGGGCTTAACATGCTATCAATTTTTAAAAAGTCAATAGATAGGATTTAAAAATCAATGGCGGGATACAGATCAAAAGTGCCTTTTCCAAAGCTATAACAGTGCAAATATTATCACTGAGAGCTCACTTATACACATAAGGTCTGAACATTTGAAATAAAGGCTTAGAGATCTCAACGTATGAGATGCCATTGAATCCAATCCATTTAAGTCTCTAAATAGCTCATCTGATTCATCTTTCCAATGAGAATATATGATTGTCTCTAGAATAGACAGACACTTACCACGGCAGTGCTTTTTTGCAGGAGAGTACTTTGAAGTCTGCTATTTTTAAAATGGTTATAGAAGGACATCAGTGAGAAAATAAGAGAAATGTTTTAGTGGGGAATTATATGGTTGAGAAATGATACAAGAGGGATACTCATCCACAAATATTTCCCTGATTTTTCATGAATGCAGTTTGGGCTACATTACAGGAAGGGTTGGAAGACTGTACATATTAAGACTCAGGAAGCAGTTATTAAATTTATCTGGCAGATTAAAGACTTCAGAAAATGTTAGTCTCTATTTTTGGTCACTCAAGGGCATCTGACCTTATGCAATTTAACACTGCAGGTCCTGACTCTAGGAGGAGTCAGTAATCTAAAAAAAATTGTTGCTAAACTCATCCTTAGAAGAGTGGTCCCTATTTGGAGCTATAATTCAAATGTAACRCAGATAGTATATCCACAAATATAACCACCAAATAAAGAGCATACAGCTCAAATGTGACTATTCCAACCACCTATGTAATAAAATAATAAAAATCACGAAAAAGGGTATTAAAAAATTAGATACAATATTACTCTTCAGAAGTTCAATTCCCCCTGCAGTAAGCAGAATCAGCACCTGCATTAGGAAAAGAATAACCATTTAATCTTGCCTATGAGATGATGAAAAAAGATACGAGTTAATCATGTTCACACTCCCTCCCTATATCATGAAGATATTGCCACTTCAACTCTGGTTGTACAACTRTCTAGTCCACTCAGATCAGGGATGCTTTTGCCTTTGCTATGATGACTTGCACAGAAACGCAGCAATAGCATGGCTGTACCTATTCTGCACCAGGTAGGTGCTAGTAAGAGGTATGTTTGCCAAGAACTTTGGAGAAGTAGAGACCTGGAACTGTAAACAAGTCTTATTTTCCATTCTCTGAACATGTACTTTAAAAAGTATTGTAGTACTTCATGACCTTGCATCCTTTCACCAAATTCTGCACTTTGAAATCTTCCCGAGGGCCAAATTTTCTTCACTAATATAGAGACTTTCTCCATTTGTATTGCAACTTGAAATGTCTCTGTAATGTTTTCACAGAAAAACGGATAACAATACGTTTCAGATTTCTATCAATAAATTATACTTCAATGTGGAATTCTTGGAATCCATATGGATTTTTTTTTTTTTTTTTTTTAAGCACTAGCCCTCTCCTTCCCCGCTAAACAGAAAGCATGAAGACTTGCAATTCTCATGTCTGCATATTATCTCCTCGGGGTTCAGGACAGTGCACRCTCTGATACCTTCACTCACAGATTGCTTCAGGCTGACATGGAAATGGTGTAGCCACAGCCTTTGTATCGGAATTCCACAAGGAACAACAGGTTTCAGTCTTAGCCATGCAATATGGTTCACCAGCTTGTACCTTCAGAGATCACTGATGGTTCTSTAGTAGAATGTAAACTACGGTTGGCTTCTTTTTGATAGCAATCCAGATCCTATATCCAGGGCTCTACTGCTGGACAGATCGATCCAGCTTGGAACAGTGGGCACTGTGGCCAAGTGGTGAAACCTTAAATGTTTTCCTCAGAGTTTGAACTCTTCATTTATTCCCCTCCAGAAATGTAAGGAGACCTTGAAGTGAGCTGCTTTGTAACCTGCAAAGTTATCAGGCCTGTAGCCTTAAAAGATTAGGCAGTTCTTTCATTTAACATAAATCTTCAAAATATACATTTTTTTTCAGATCTAAGAATTGATTCAAACTTTCCAAATAATGTAAAATCTTCACATACACTTATCTCCAAGATTTAGTAGTGGAAAAGACCCCTCTATTTTGTACAAAAATTAAATAAGCAAAGGTCATCTTTATTCCCAGAATGGAGGTATTTCTTACTATTCCACATGTGTAAAGATTGTTTTCAGAAAGTTGGATTAGGCTGACCAGAGTGTTTTGAGCATTTCCTGATTAACATCAGCATTGGTTACCCAAGGAAATGCAGGGTAGCATTGGAGAAAAAAAATGTTTTCAAAGATTTAAAATTATCTGAGTAGTTTGAATCAACAGGAGTTATTGAAAGCTCATCTGGCCATAAATCTGGGTTGTCTCAGGAGCAGGTCTTCAGTATATTGCAGGACATACTCAGTACTTTGGAAGACTAAGCTCTTAGTAATAAAAATTTTTTTTTTCATTTAAAATACAGCAGATGTCCTTACAAAAAATCATACCTTAAGTGTTATTCYCTCTCATTATGTTTTATACATTCAGAAACAAGACATTTGAGATACACTGCAAACAGTGCAAAAGACAGTTTTATCCTTACAAAAACACGCATTGCAGTACCTTCAAGTGGCAGCYGAAAGAAAAGTTGAGCAAGGTTTCATCCTCAGAGAAACCCTGCTCCAAGTYGAACTTTTGTTTTGCAAGTTGTAAACAAACGCCTTGGAATGCACAGAATCCTCTCATTTCTTTCCAGCCAAGGCAGTCTCAAACACATCAAGTCCTGCTTTGAAGTAAACCTGAGCTGAATTGATGCTGTTCAGCACCTCTGACAAGGCTGCTTGAATGGTCTCATTTGACTGACGTAGCTTGCAGTGCTCCAGYGCCTCTAGCAGTACTGAGAACTGGCTTCTTCTTTCATCTAGTCTGTAAAGAATATTCCTAAAAGAGAACAATGGTGTAAACCTTTTACTCAAAACAATTCATCMGAATCATCAAGGATCCCTTCAAGCAAATGAAATATGTTATGTATAGTAAAGCTGACCCACGGCAATTATAGACCAACGACATATATACTACGTCTTTCTAAATTGCATCTGTCTATACCTGTCTATTGATGTCAGTGTATTTACATGGAAACATTCACAAAGTTTGTCCAAGAAATCTCATGCTCCTCCTTGGGCATTTAAGATTTTCTCAAAACCATGAACCTAGGTCTATCAAAACCCCAAGAAATAGTTTATGTCTCAGCTAGTTCTGCCAGAYGGAAAAGATATTCTTCCTTTTCTGCCTACTGCTGTTCCTTAGTTCACCTTTCAAAGGTGAAACCCTAGCTGCACTGAAGTCAATGGTAAAACACTCATTGTCTTCAGCAGAGCCTTCATCAATAATCCATTGTGCCAGCCGGCCAAGACCAACCCATCTTTAATGTCACACACCTGATGAAGGAAATAGGTCAAAARTACAGCTACATCCTTATGAGACAAAGGTCTGTGTTTTTGTATGATAATATCTGYCAGATATATTCAATGACTTTCATAAAAATACACGCAAATGTAGGTTCCTTTTGAAATGTCTGCAAGAGGTGTTGAAGACTCAGAATTCAAAGTTAGCCTGTGATTTCAATGAGACTTTGAAGCAGGATAGAAATGTTATCTAAAAGCAGGTGTAGTCATTAGCCTAATTAGAAGAGAGTGTAAATATCATAAATCTCCACCCAGGGGCTCCTTTGATTGTAAACAAGTGAGAGAAAATCAAAACAGGAAAGCTGCAAGTGATCTGGTGTAGGACTTTATCCTTAAGTACAGGGAAGGCGTTGGGGGGATGAAAAAGAAATTTTCATAGAATTTTCACAGAATGAAAATGGCAGGAARTCAGGGCAACTCGCACACTCCACCAGTGGCCTGACTGCAGGACAGGTCACTGGCAACTCCAAATTAATAATAAAACTGCCAAGTATATCCACCTACAACATAGATGAGCACAAAAGTGCAACTTCTGCAGATTACTGTAAGAGTCAGCTAAATTTTAAGATCACCAAGGAGAACGGTAATGAAGTAGCAGAATAAATGATATCACAGAACATCTACAATCCTTAGCCTTGTTCTTCAGTTTGTACAGATGCTTCAAATGAGGGCGATGTTTTTCAAAGATCTGAAATTATTTCTATCCTCAAAACACAACTTTGTTGCCTCTGTATTTTTTACCTTATACATCTGGGAATATCAACAAAATATTAACTTTCCTTTACTTTGCAGTTACCTATAWACTTTGCAAGCCATGACACCTTTCCCTGTGGCATTCTTCAATTTTTCAGTTTTAGAATTTTCTTATCTCTGTCAAATCTCCATCAAATGAGGAAAAAAAATACCCATTGCTAGTTTATTTTTTCATGCCTTTTCAAGTCAGAGAAGAGTTTTCATTCAAAATTACACACTGACTGGAAAACATAAGACCCAGTCCTAGCACAAGACATCACTGTAGGACCACAACATGTGTAGGAATATCTTTTGTTTATCATATGAAACTCAATTAATTGAGCATTCCTTAATATAAATTTTTTGTGGCCTACATCTTTAAAAGAACATTAATTCCAGCCTCTCTCCTACTTGATTAAGTACCTACCTTCACCTTTAACTGTTTTGATAATATACATGTACATATAGTCAGTCTGACTCACGCAAAGGAGAAAGACACTTCTGAAAGGGAAGTGTAATATGTTACTGGTGACACTAACAAAATTACAACGCACATCACTCATCTTAATGGGCTTGTTTCAATGACACATAACAGTGACCTGAAAAGTGTAACACTGAGCTAGAAAACCTAATTAATAACTTCAGGCAGCACCAATAAAAGAGATAAAATATCTCCATACAAGTCAGCCTTAGTAAACTAAGGTAAAGAAACTTATAMAATGAATTCCAAAAGAATCTCATCTATAACTTTTATGAGCCTTTTGTAGGTCTATGGGCATATGCATTATTGATGAATATAATGCCTTTATGGTTAAATGCTGTTTTTCATTATCACAAATACAGGTGTAATACTACTCTCACCAAACTGAAATGAACATGACAAATTCCAGAACAATAAATCAAACTAGATAACATAATGGCTTTACACGATGATTTTGGAGATTATGTTAGAGCAACTGGAGAGTACAGAAAAAAGTAGATTACTGCATTATTCTTGTCATGAAAAAGGATTATTTTGTGTTCAAGAAAAGTATGTATGCGGGTAACGCACAACAAAAGCTGAATTATTCAGTTGCTTACAAATAACCTCCTATCTACGAGCCAATGTGTACATTTTTGAAAAGAAAAGTAATTACTAAACCATTAATTTATGGCAGCAAGTATACAGTCCTACAAGAAATGAGATCAGCTTGCCTCAGTGGAATATTTATAGATAAATGCTATAGGCACCCTCTGTCTTTTCTAGTTATAATCCAGTGTGCTGCTTATAGTCCAATAGAGCTACTTCAGCACCCTCACAAATCCAATTTTATAAATCTCTAAATTATTTTTCTCATCCTCTCTGAGGACCAAAAAAACCAGCATCTTTACCCTGATAATGTTCAGTTTTGAATGTGCTTTTCTTAGCTCTATGTAGGAATCTTGTTTTCATTCACATTTGTAAAACACAAAATAAGACTGCTACTGGGTAAATAAATAAATAAATAAATGCATTTTAACAGAACTATTTACATGTCGGGACTTTAGTTCCATAGGATGTTGGCTTATTACAGGAAATAAATAGTACAACTTCTTCACCCCTGGAAAAGGCATCAGCTGATCTACGCTCGTTTGTTTATACTTGTTTGCATCAGAAAATTTTACAGTGAAATTACAGAAGAGTTTCCTTCTTCTTCCTCCAGGTCTCTAAGCCCTTTGATCTCCATCAATATTTTTTCCTTCCTATTTTTTTAAGCCTTATTGACAGCCACGTATAGTTTACTAACTTCTTATCTATAGAATGATGCAATACCTCATCTTAATCTCACTTACTGTTTGAGCTAAAGGACATGCTGACCCTTAACTGAGAATATGTAGTAACTAAACATGAATAAAGGGAGTCTGAAAGTAGTCCAGATTCTAATCATAAAAGGACTGAGATTCTCCAACAGGCTCAAGTAAGAATTAAGAAGTCTAAATAGTTTAAAGACTGAGTTTGAGTAAATTTGGCATATGCAATATACCTTTGTGCAAGGGCTGAGCCTCAACATTACTGTTTGACTCTCAATTTTTCAACAGGTGAAAATATGCCGAGTTTGGTTAAGTTCCTTCTATCTTTCATTGGAGTAAATAAGATCAGTAAGTGATGGAACTGGTGCTACAACTTYAACAGTACAGAATGATGTCAAAGAACCGAACTAGAAAGAAAAGTGAAGATTAGGATGCAAAATATTCTTCCAAAGTAACAAGTGGTTTTTTATAACTGCTAAAGAGCTTTAAAATCCTCTAATACTTTGTTCCAGTAATTTCTAGAACAAAGACTACCTATACTTGAGTGATTTATAAATTTACCAAAATAAAAATAATTGTATTTTAAAAGGTTACTTGTTGGTAATAAATAGTCTGAATGACATTTGTTTTAATATAACATAATGTAGTGATAGCTATTGGTAACAAATGTGAGCATGCTGCTCATAGATTGATTTATGCAACAGCTAATGTTTTTCAAATGGAGAAGCATATGCTTATGCTGAATAATTTGGAGGAAACTATTTTTGTTTTAAGGATATCTCCATCTGGAAAGCAAATTCAAAGCAGATGTGCTCCTATTTTGAAGGACTTGAGGGAAGTGAATTAATAAAATTGTTTCGAATTGGCTCACTGCTGATATTCTGAAGCCTTCATAGTGATTTTTATTTAAGGAATTACATATGTAAAACATCTGACTCCTAGAGAGGAATACTGTTTCTAAAGAAAGCAGACAAAGCCAGTGTCCACAGTGCCTGCTGAAATAAACTGGTTTGGTTTCCATTGYGAGCATGGACTACCTTTTAGTAACTCCACACCACAAGATGTGCAAGGCCAGCATCAACATAGGCATAAAGGTAAGAGGTTACTATTTATTAAAAAAAGAAAAATGTGTGGCAATATGTCCATTCAATAAATGTCTRAGGTTTTTTTCTCTTTCTTTTTTAAATTAAAATCTACAACATTCAGGCATAGAATACTGACAAATTTTTGTCACAGTGAAGATATATTTCATGTTAGCAATTATAGCAAYTGAATTTCCAAGTATTGAGGCCTGGGTAATATCTTATAAGAGGAGTATGACATATTGGACTCTTGCCCCTTTTAGTAGCAATTAATTCTTATTTTTTTATTTTGTTTGAGAAAAATTATCAGTTTGTAATTCAAACATATATCAATGATTCCGGACTTCTATCCCTCATAACTAAAATGTGGAATCATATATTTCTTGCATCTAAATAATGCTATAGGCTCCACCACTTAAAATAAAAATAGAAATAACGTAAGAAACAATTAAGTTTCAAATTTGGTAAATTTGAAATCTAGTACATTATCACACATGCACAGAAATCAAGAACTTTTTCTCTGCAATCAAATATTCTTGACCTGGATAAATGAGGAAGTATTGTCTTCAGGCCCATCAACACTGTTTTAAATTATAATATACAGAGACATATTCATCATATCAAAAACATAACRGGTGTGATGCACCCTACAGACAAGGCTGTAAATGTGTATAAATAAGCTGAGTCAAAAGGACATAAGAAAATTCACTAGTACATATAAGAAAAATAAATGAAGGCAAACTATGTTTAATATTCCATGCCAAGGAAGTGAGAAAACAGGTTTCCAGACATGACATCATACCTAATTATAGTTGTTTTCTACTTCTGCAGGTGTAATGAAAAGATTTTTAAATTTTCTGTTTAAATAAGTTTTTAACTCAACCATATTTAG